TAAGCTAGATCTGCGTTTCTGTGTATTAAAAATGTTTCTTGACACATTCGCTCTAAATTTTGTGCAGTAGAAAATAAAACCTTTGTTACATGCACTTTGCTTTAACTTACTGGTATGGTGCCATACCTAGGTATTGTCATTTATTATGTTTTTTTTTTATTTACAATCAGTTATTAATTTATATACTAACTACTTCTCCAAGTTGTTATCAATCAATCTTAAACAATAAAAAATAAGATGCGGGTGACGACAAAAGTTCCCGTATTGCATAAGTTAAGTACAGAGGTAGTCAAGAGCTAAGTTGAGATTATGTGGAGCATTGTTAGGAGGGTTATGGAGGACCATCCTTGACGATTGATTGGTTATTCACTTACCCAGGAGGGATAATGAATAGATTATGTGTATCTGGATGGTTATGAGTTTTAAAGTTATTGGGTAAAACTATGAAATATTTTGTTTAAATAAAATACTTTAACGGTTTAAAACGCGATATATTAGTTAAACTTATTTGAAAATGGTTTTTAACAGCTGTGGTCACGGGGAGACTGACCACGGCTGCTGCAAAGCATCCGAAACGTCGGGCCGAAGTTAAGAATCCTTTTCAAATAAATTTAACTAATATATCGCGTTTTAAACCGTTAAAGTGTTTTATTTAAATGTGTACTACTCGCGTAAACTATAGACAGTATTTAAACTTTTTATTGCTTCATTTTTCGATTAAAATTAAACAGATGTTTCGTATATAGGACCTAGGTAAGCCACAGTTCTTTGTCTGTCGCTCTTAATCGTAATCTAGCTGAATTGTGGTTTAAACTTGTGTTTATTTTTATTACAGTATATCTTATGCTTTAGGAAGTAGTACTATTGTATCTTGGTGTTCTATTTTACAGATAGTTTTTTGTTCTTTATTGTAGTAGTCAGAAATACTGAATTATGTTTCCTTAAATATGTTATCTAATATCATTCTTATGGCTATCGGTTTTAAGCGATAACAATAACTGTACCTAAGTGAATTCAGACACCATTCCTAATAGTTTTGAAGCTAGATTAATTTAACACTTTTAAGATACAAATGATAATATTATTTTAATGTGTAGGTATTACTACGCTTACACTACAGACAGTATTTAAAATCAAAAATATTATATGTAAATAATAATAAATAACGGGTTTAAAACTTTAATATGAAATAATAATTTTGTCTCATTGGCCTACTAGTATTGTCTGGGTCAATCCCTTTGTGTTTCTAGTTAATTTATAATATTTCCTAAAAACCTATTGGATTCCACGTGGAAATTATATAATAGGAATAAAATGGGCGGTAGAAATATCGAATCCTCCGGGCCACAAACCACTATCCACATATGAAAAAGCCGTGGTATTTAATCGCGTTTCGGTTTCAGTCTGTCGATTTACGAGTATCCAAAGGAAAAAAAATGGTGATAATAAAATGAAATAAAATATGTTCTTAGAGACCGATATTAAAAAAAATGTTACCCGTTAAATACTTCTCCGGAGCTCACATCCTTTAACGTGTCACTCATAAAACAAGAATACAACACAATACATAACTTGTTTTTTTTATCTTTCTCAATAAAAACACATAAATATTACACAAAACGGCTATTAGTAATCACAATGCGATATCGACTGGTGCAAAGGGAAAACAATTAAGTTTCAATGATTGCGACGCCATATTGGATTGTTTGAGCTTCGATTGTTTTATTCCCGCCAATAATTAGGCCTGTGGTCGCCACAGCCAATCACAGCGCAGTAAGATTAGCTTGCGCTTACCATTTCGGCCAATCAAAGGAGCGCTTACATTCGTCATAATTATTATGAGTACTTAATTAGTCTTCAACCAGTATATTCTATTTTAGTTCATACAGTAGGCGATGGTTATAATATTAGAGTAAATATAAATAAATAGTAAGCTTGGATTATGTTAGTATTTAGCCCCAGTCATATAACATCAACACTAAATCTACTGTCCACTTAATTTGGCTTTGGATATTCGGAAAATACACAGACTGAAACCGTAACGGCGTTTTTATATATAGATGGTGGTTGGTGACATAAATGGAATATCGATATTACCTACCACCTATTAAAACAAAAGTTTAATGTATATGTACCGTAATATGTTTAAAATACTTAGAAGTTACAGCAACCTCGGTTGGGTATTGATCATCTGTGCTGTTGTGTTAGCATCTTTGGAGAGAATTTCAAGTTTATAATTGAATATTTGTGTCATCGTTGACAGCATCATAAGGAATGTTGCAATAATAGGTAATTCCACTTCCCGTCGAGCATATGCAGTCATTTCTATATTTACAGATTGATTTTATGTTTAGGTAAAATACCAACCTGTTCACCTATTCTATTTACTTATTCGTCACAATTAACGTATATAGTGTTACAAATTTAAAGAGTTAAAATGAAACACGCTTAACGGTTTAAAAGGCGACATATATTAATTATCTTTATTTTTAAATACGACTCCTTGTTGAGAATGCTTTTCGCGTCGTAGTTAACGAATATATATCTACCCATTGCGTTTATGACGTTTAAAAATATTTTATTTCGATGTGTTCTAATAGCCTAAAACATATGTAACCTTAAACTTATAAGTGATTATTTTGTCTTTACAATTCTACTACTACTATGATACTTATACGATATTCGATACCAGTGCTATCGAAATCGTATGCGTATTTGACGCTTTATTTGATTATATGACTATCGTTACACTAACGTGGAATATATATTTCATTAAGGAGGTCTGAAGCTATAGTATTCGTGCCTCAATAGTAAACGGCATTATATAGCGTTAAGGGCGTGAGCCGATCGAATCCCGAGTCCTAATTTCGGTCTGACAGAGCACAGATTGAGGCTCATTCGTCTTTGAGCTTCCTAAACCTAAGTAAAATAATTGAGCAACTGTCAAATCTAGTTGTATCAACTGTGGTGGAAGGTGACGGGGAGATTGGTAGTAGCCACGAGCGTGACATCGATTGTCACTCATTAGCGAGTTGTCCAAACTCGTTATAACTTGACACCGCTCGCTTCCGTCAGGGCTGTTACATTGTCTTGTATAGGAAATGGGAAATCTCTTATATCTATTCTTACTTTTTAAACACCAGCATTTCTAAGCTAGAAGGCTAACTGTATACCTGCCACAGTTATTCACAATCCATAGAGTATATATTTTGTAAATTTTCATAGTTCTGAAGTTAAAAGTGGAAACTTTTAATTGGCTTTCTGATATATAATTTGTCGTCTATCCTATTGTATTAGGTGTAATTTTTCAATGCGTGAATAAATAAATAGTCTATACTAATATTATAAAGCTGAAGAGTTTGTTTAAACGCTCTAATCTCAAGAACTACTTAGAGGAAGGCTTTATGATACATATCTATACACTGTGAGCGAAGAAATAGTGGGAAATGTGGAAAAAACGGGGAAATTCATCTTTGCGTGCGCTGCGAAACGGGTTTAAGAAACCAAGAAATATTTATAAAAACATAATTCCTCTTTAAACCTTTTAAGATTAAATTGCAAGAACAATATCACGCGGACGACGTCGTGTGTAACAAGAAGATTTTATACCCAAATGGATTCGAGGTTGTTTGCAAAAATAAATTTTGACGCTCAAAATAAATTCCACACGAACGAAGTCGCGGTCATAGCTACTAGTAGTAGACATACGGTGTTTGTTTTCATGTTTGTTATGATTTTTGAGGTTTAGGCGTAAAGAAATGTTTCTTTTATCATGTAATTACTAGAAGTATATACATTCACTTTTGTTAAAATGCGAAGTATGTGTAATTCGAATTAAATAGCTGTAGATGTTATATTACATAAAATAAAAACTTAAAGAGTTTAAAAATCTTGACTTGAACCGGCATCGTCAGCGTTCCGTGCTGTTGCTCTCCAATTGCTCCTGACTCGGTAGCTCAATTAGTAGAGCAATAGCACGGAACGCTGACGATGCCGGTTCAAGTCCTGCCCGAGTCGAAATTTTTTTCAATTTATTTTCGATTTTTAAATTATATAGTACCTTCATGTGCAATAACATGTAAAAACATTAAAGTTTTCAAACTTAAAGAGTTATATTATATCAAAGTCACAAAAACAGTAAGAAAACGTAGGTAGAAGAACATATTATAGGTAATTTTATTGCGTTGAATATGTGGTGCCAAGTTCTTTAACATTTATTAAGTTTACTATAATTAGGTAGTCAAACATTTTTGTAATGCAAGTAGAGGCTTCTTGGGTATTTAAACCATATTGAATTTAAGCTATTTTAACTACTAAGAGCTGAGATTGAAGAGAAAGACTGTATGGGAACCACGATAACGTAGAGAATAGTAAATTCAAAAAACCTAATAGTGCGATTCTAATGTCTTTCGCAACAAACACTAAAAAAATCTTTAAAGCGGTGTCACACACATCCATAGCTATGTTTAACAATAGTGGCAACTAGTGAGTAGGTAGGTATTTATTGATCATAATGGCATTATATAAATAAAAAATCGGTTATAAATTGAAAAAACTTACGACACGGGGAGGACTCGAACCGGCATCCACGGTGTTACGTTGTTGCGAAGTAGATTTTTTCGTAATTACGACGTGTTGTTTGTAGTTGAAGGTATAATGTTTTGAAACGTTATCAACCCCAAAAAATGTAAATCGCGTGACATAATGCGTTTAACAAAGTTATTATTTTTACATTAGGTGTAGCTAGATGTAGCAATGCCGCTTCTATGCCCTTCCACTATTTTTAATCAAGTAAACTACACATATATAAAAACTATAAGGTTTTTAATTGTAAAATATATTATTACATTATTAGAGAACATATATTAGCCATTCGCGTAGGCACGTACCTAAATAATGATTATTTATTATAATTGAAATTTGCATGTAGACCCAAAGTCAGATGCCAGTTCCCACGTGGCTTGATACTAATGAGTCTCTAATAACGGGCTACAATAATAATGCGACAGAATAAGTTAGAAGTTAACAACACAGCCCTGCAGGCGAACGCCCCGGGCGCTACGTGAGTTCGTGACTTTCGACCACCGTCCCCCCGCCCCCCCGCATCCTCGCAGCAACAATGAATTATTCTATATCATAATGTATTGACGATTTTATCACCAATCGCCCTATCTACAGGCTGGTGAGATCTGTGAATGATAAATCTGGCCTTATTCCACTAAAACTAAAGCTGGGACCGACCGGAAATAGTGCGGGTAGGCTACATAAATACCACACAATATTTACAACTGAAGACTATAAATAGACAGTAAATCTATTTGACTATCATGGTGACGCTGTGGTTAAGACGCCATTATATGTTTGTTATACAGAGGAGCATATAACTATTTTTTTGACAACTCGAACAAGGGAACATTTTTATTTATTTCAGGTGGGGCTACTAGGTACGCTGTATCTTAGGATGTGCGAGTTTCAGCGTTGGGTCTGTTGATAGTGCCGATGAGACGACTTAAGACTAACTAGTATCCTGTTATTAGGTCTCTGAATATACCTCAAAATAATAGGTAACTAGGATTGTGTTATTCTTTTAGCACTCGTTCCAGGATTTTTGGGAATGATTGACTGGGCATGGGACTATGACGTTAAATCAAATCAGGTGGTAAAATAAAAGATTAGAATTTACAAATAAATGTAACATACCTCCCAATAAATTTTTAAATAAATTTAAACACAAGGTAGAGAATATGATTAAGTTTTTATCATTGTATGAAGCACTGTCAACCTATTTTACTTTAAATTTCTTCTTCTAACCTAGTTCTGATCGCCCATTTATTGTGCATGACTCGGGCTGACGTTATTGGAAAAAACAATAGAAAACACAAGAATCTTAGACCCATTAGGAATCAGACCAAGGACTCTTTAGTTAATACTTATTCATAGTTTTACCACTGCTCAATATTCCTAATAAAAAATTATTATCACCAATTGTTGTAAGTATAGTCATATCCTTTTGTATGACACAGGAAAGATAAGCATGGGATTCAGGATACCTCAGCTTATAGCATCTTAACAAGAAGAGCTATTGACCTATTTTGGTTTTGGATATTCGGAAATCCACAGACTGCAACGAAACGCGATAAACGGCTTTTTCATTTGTCGACGGTGGTTCGTGAACTGAATGGAATTACGATATTCCTACCACCTATTTAATATCCAGATCCCAGACGAAGTACATCATGTTTTAGAAAAATTATACTTACATTGAAAAATTAGAATCGTTATCCCAGTGGGGATCGATCATTGCTAACATTAAACCAACGAGGCCGTCAACTTGAGTTTAGATCTCTTTTGTATTTTATAAACACCATGTATAGCGATTGGCGGGATCGCTAGAGGACCGCATCGCATAATGAGCATTAGCGGAGTAATTAAATTCATTTGACGCAGTGAACCGCCCGCCCTACGCCCAATAATGCCATCAGAAAAGCTTTATAACTGTAATAATATTGTCTTGTATTTAAGTGTTTTAACATTGTCACGCTCAATACGTGACTTCTTAGTGGAAGCAAGTAATGTTATTGTCATCTTTTACGTTTAAAACTTTAATATTTTGTATATATTATTTCTCGTGATGGTACTCTATACATTAAAAATCGAATAAATGAATACGCAAGTGCTAAGGTTCAAAATTATATTGCGCGAGATGTGCATGTATCAATAAGATGAAAAAATTCGACGACGAGGCTTAAGACTGAGTAGCGCAATTGGTTAGAGCAACAGTACGGAACGGTGACGATGCCGGTTCAAGTCCAGCCCGAGTCGAACATTTTTTCAATTTATTTGCGTTTTTTAATCTATCTTTTACGTTATAAGGAATTACAATTGTGTTCTTATAATTCTATAACTTACGACTACTGACGATATTTTGATTGATTTATTAATTTATTCAAAACCAGTGACACAAAGTTCTTCCAATATGAGAGTGAGTTACGTATTATATAGATCGTTTGAAATAATTCATTTTTATATAATCGATCGTCGTGTAATTGAAACACTATTTTACAATTTCTATTGTTTAAATATACCTACATTCTTTATTGATGAAAAGAACATAAAACAAATAAATCTTCTGTTTATGTGTTAATGACGCCCATTCCTATATTTAATAGTTTTATTAAATATAGGAATGGGAATTAAGTTATATTTATGTTAAGGTATCTTATATATAAAATAAAATATTCAAATGTTTTAGGAAATTTGGTTTATTTATTATCTATAATAATAGAGAGATGTATCTTTTATGGTATTTTTTTAATGAAAAATATTAAGTTCTACACCTAATAAGAAACGTTTTACACATTTCTCTTCGTTGCGTGCTGGAACTTGAATAAGGGAGTTATTATTTTTACTTTGTTGTTAAGAATCTTGTCCTCTTCGACGAAGGAGAATAGTGCAAAATAAAACGTGAAGTAAATTATTTATTCTATTAAACTTAGGTGGTGGCGTACTAAACATTTGTTAATTGTTTCCGTAAGATTTTTGTCGTTGTTTTCCCTTTGTCTTGTTATGGTGTCTTTTTATTTTATTAATGCTTTTTCTGATTGCCATAAATCGACAGTTACGTGAAAGAGACTAACTAAAACATTTGAACCAGTTTAAAAGTAAATTATAAAAGTAAGTTATATAAATCAGATATTTTTCGTATTAAACGGTTATTATTGTCATCCTGGAATAGGTCTATGCATATAAAATAAGTATTCTAGGTCGAATTATTAGGTAGGTAAACGCTGGAAAGCTTTAACTGATAATTTAAGTAATGATTGAATGATGAATTGATAATAAAGTTTAGATTTTAATAGATATATGTTTCCCTCATGGAACTATGGTTTTTACTACAGTTTGTGTACTAACTATTAAAACTACAAATTATTTCTATAATTGCGGAACCACAAAGCGCTAACTTCTAACGTTTTTTCTAAGCATTTGTACAAATTGTGTCTCAAACGAACGCACAAGTCACCCTCGCAGCTTCCACTACAATTTTCTTAAATCTCTCCGGAATAGAACCCTTCTGCTGACGGTACCCGCCACAAAATGGCGCCCGTATTTACCAGTTTTCATATCGCCCCGAGCACTCTTCTACATAAACATTCTGAATAAAAATGCGCCATTACTATTTGCATTCATATCTAAAGAAAACATACATGCTAAATTGTTAGCGAAAAAGCAAACGGATTACATATAATATTCGTCTTTATTGTAAACGAACACAGTCCAAAATTGCATGTTTTTATGTTAGGTATGGGAAAGCACAATGATTGTGAATGTGTTGTTTGTCCCTTTCTTACTTATGAGTTAGGATTTCGCTGTCTCGCTCCCGTGTAAGTAAAAGGTGGGATGATTGAGACGTAACTGCCAACTGCCACTGGTCCCATTATACCTCGAGAATAGTAAACAGCTCTAGTGATGTTCGATATTGAATATCGATAATTTTTTATAGTATACTAATTCATACTTATAATTCCCATGAATGTACACGATGTTCAATAGCTGAAATAATAAGTGAAATCAAAAATGGTTTTCATAAAAAATGCTATAAAAGTAATTCTTTTATACAATTTTATTTTATTTATAAGTATTCCATTATTAAAAGCCAATGCTATAAAAATAAAAATGTTTTTTTGTAATTAAACTGACATTCGGTTTTTATAAAATAATACGTACTATTTTCCATTTCAGTCCAGATATATATTTTTTAAATTCTTAAAAGTCTACTACTTGATTAAGTTAAGGAACACATACACTATATTTCATCCAAAGAATAAGAATCAACAGTTAAAAGTGATGGCATTTAATTTGTCGATACAGAAAAGTAACGAATTAAAAAAGTATCGATACCCAATTCGTCCCTCATAAACTCACTCGACCATAACTAATAGTGGTGAATAAATCGCGGTGCACAAAAGCGCGCTTTTTTCTCATCCACCAATCAGCGAGCTCCGTCAGCTTGACACCCGCCAATCACAGCGCGTCAAAATTTCAAAATTATGCTGAAGTACACATTCCATTTCTGGTTCTTTAATATAACGGGATAGAAGGAAATTCAGAAGGGTGATTTTACAAATGGCGGGCTCGGTAATCAAATCAGGGGTTGAAGTGCGAATGCTTGTTAAAACCATTACAGACTTCAATATTGACATTAATTTTTCCTCTATTTATGATATAGGTTTCAAATTTTTTTGAACTTAGTTCCAAAAATCTTTCTTCTAACGTTACCTCTAAGTTATGTTAATACTTCATAGTGCTTTGAATACAAAATTATGCAGTTGTCAGTTTGATTTTTGTCTGAATATCCTTCTAAATTGATATTGTAGTGTAATTATATATGTTTTTGTAGTGTAAATAAATCTGTTTCTACCTGGTATTTGTAAGTATTCGTTTCGAAACCAAACTATATTGATTTGTTATTTCAATTTTTAATTTATTAGTCATGACATGGCGATCACGCTAGGTATTTAGACGATAGTTATTTTTGAATAACGAGTAATTTTAAAATGTACAGACATGACTAAATCTACTAAATATTTATTAACATAACCTATTTCAAAAATTAACATAGTTTTCATAAACAACAATTGATATATGTACTTAAGTCATTATATTATATTATTTTATATTATATTATATTCTATTGGTATTAAACTGTTTATTTAAATTGGTTAGGGCATCAAAATCTTTTAAGGGCACCATCTTTTAAATAAAACATGAAATGTATTAGTTAACTTATTTACATTTTTTTTAAGTAGATGTTCGATCACGAGTGTCCAAGACTTCTGCAAAGCATTCGAAACGTGGGCCCGTAGTTAAATCAACTGACTAACATTTCTAAACCGTTAGAAATGTTTTATTCAATCGTGTAATACTCGTTTAAACAATAGACAATACTGGAATTAACCAATGAGAATGTAATTTAACGTTCCCATTACTCACTTTACTATTTCAAACTTTCGCGCAGTGTACATTTTGAATTACAGTAACTCAGTAGCGTGGACGTTTAAACAAACAAAACTCAAGACGACAATAATAGCCGGCATTTATGGACAGTAATCCGATTAAATTGACACGTTACAGGATATTATGACAGTGCGGTCTGTCAGTCGCCAGTGTGGGACAATGGGCTATTGTGGGCACAAAGAGGCCTCGACAAAGGTTACGTGAATCGGCAAGTATGCTCTTTCGTGCGAATCACACCTGCTATTTTCAACAATAGCTAAATGGTCAGACTTTATCGATTCAATTATAGTTCTGTATTATTTGATACTTTTTAACTACAATTACTATTTGTTTTTTTACAGAATCTTGTTCAAAATCTTAGCTAAAAAAAATAAAAATGTTTTCGACGTAAGTACAGAACGGATCAAATTTATTTTCGGTGTGTAATCGAATTTCTTTCTATTTTCCGTTTCAAATTTGAGACAGAAAAATAGGCTATGAAGGAATGTCTAATCTGTTTAATTGAACTTAATAAAATCCATTTGTTTTCCCGTTTTTCATATAAATACGACGAGAATATAATATTTCGACAAAATTATAAATTTTCTTGTTATTTAATTGTATATTTATTATTATTAATATTTACAGATATATCGTGAATTGAACTATATAAATAAACAGCGTATCGTACTTGAAACTTGTTAGATTTTTTTTAAATATTCAAAACTACATATCACGACGACGTTCAGCCGACGTGAGCGAGAAGAGGTTTTCGATGTTTCGCCATCACGTGCGGACGGCATCATCAGGAGATGTTAATCCCCCGATTACTCGAAGAATTAACGTCGATAACCTCTTCTCGCTCACGTCAACCGAACAATCCGAAAAACAATAATATGTTGAACGATGGCCGTGAAAGCCTTACACAAGCTTGTCTCCCCGTGACCACGGCTGCTGCAAAGCATCCGAAACGTCGGGCCGAAGTTAAAAATCATTTTTAAATAAGTTTAACTAATATATCGCGTTTTAAATCGTTAAAGTGTTTTATTTAAATGTGTACTACTCGCGTAAACTATAGACAGTATTTAGCCTTACACAATTTATTGTAAAAATTATACCGACTGAATAAATAGTCTAAATAAGTATCATTTAGTATTATTAGCAGTCAAAATTTAATATTCCGTAGTTTATTTATTTATTTATTTATTTATTTAATTACAGCTATTGCCATTTGCCTTAAGACTAACTTATAGCTAATAATCTATATCTAAGAACCGCATACATTCATCTCCTAACTTTCCCAACCCTGACACAAATATGTCACATTCTGGAGCAGAATTAAGAAATTTGTTGAGCAGTGATATCATGCGCGGTATAGGTGACTGCTGGCGTAGAGTTGTACGCGATCGCATTTCGGCCAAAAGTTGATGCCCACGAGACCGAATGTATTTGTCAGGAGCATAAAGCCGCAGTAGACAAGGGAGTAATTGGATTGAATCCGTTCTCCCCCTTAAAATATTTATTGCAAACTTAAGTGAAGCAATTTCTCTTCTTCTTTCGAGAGAGTTGTATCCTAAGGACCCCAAAAGGAACTTTGTAGGATAGAGGTAAGGATAAAAAGAATTAATTTGTTTATACAGATTTCTGAGATACTTTTTCTGAACCTTCTCTAACATATTGATGTATTTTTCTTCGTGTGGCGTCCATACCACCGTACTGGTCTCGACTACACTTCGGACTAATGCAGCATATAAAGTCCTAGTAGCTTTATCTGTCAGACCGTGACTATTACGCGAGACAAATCCTAACCTCTTGTATGCAACTTCAGTTATGTTCCTAATGTGTTCACGAAAAGTTAGATCAGGCACAAATGTAACACCTAGATCTTTGACTCTGTCAACTTTACGTATAACATCTACACCTATTCTGTACTCATCATTAACAGAACAGGCTGAGCCACAAAAGGTCATCCATTGGCATTTCTTATTATTAAAAAATAATTTATATATAAGTTGTTTTAAAATAAAGTAAAATTCTATAACTTATTGACGATTTCGATTAGATAATCTAAAGCCACAGTATAAAAACGCATCGTGTATTGACAGAATATTGTAGTGGGACTTCCCGCCTTTTGTGTGCTTCAATCGATCGAACGTGCTTGATATCCGATCAATCCTTTATTGATCCCTGGATATCTTATTTCTATAAACAATTCAGCCTTGTTTTTGTAAATCCGCAGTTTGAATGGGTACGTTTTATTACCAACGCGTTGTTGTATGACAGTATTATATCTTCAAAATAAACAAACAATTGTTCCTTAAATCTAACTTAGACGAGTAAAAGTTTTAACCGACTCCAAAAAAGTAGGTCTTCAATTCGATTTGCACATTCACGTTTTTAGATTCGCTTACGATTTTGATAATTTTTCTAAAAAGAAAATATTTCTAAGAAGTTCCCATTATGAAGAAATCAAAGAGTGATGATCAAATGCCAGAGAAATAGAGGGGAACTTTTAAAAGCCGTAGGAATGATTAATGTAATTGCAAATATTTTTATTCGCTATTTTAAAGCTCTACGATTCAATCAAACGTTGGAGTAAATCTGACAATGTTGTTAAGAGACCGTCGAAAAATATTCTTATTTTATTGCTCTTAGCAATAACATGTGCAAACAACGAATATGTATATAAATAATTAAAAATTTAAAAACAACAAGAAATTCGAATAACCTCTGATAATTATTTTTAAAGTTTTGAATTTGAGTGCTACGTCACGTGTAGCGGTTTCGTAGCACCCTCGTAGCCAGATAAGTCTACGAAGATGATAAATGTAGAAAACTAACTTCTAGTTATAAAATATAAATGTATTTTGCCTTATAATTCTACTAATTTATTTATTAAATTGTAAAGGTTATCCCGTAGTTATAAATGTCTATAAAATTGTACCCTTTAATGACGGTTAACACTGAGTATTTCTATGAATGGTATCCATACGAATAAGCTCTGCAAAAATGTATATAATCCATCTAATACAATCGGTAGCTAAAACTATTCTGAGTATATGTAAAATACAAATATGTCACGAACTATTGTGATATCACAATTATGTTAAAAGGGTTTAGGAGATGTCATGTCGCCCATTGTAATATTAATAAAGCTTTGTGTTGTACTGAGCAGATGCATAATATTATTTTTCTATGTAAGATCTATTGAAAAGGACGCTCTTAATGTATTGAGATTTGAATATATATAGGCATAGAGTTGTTGTTGATTGATATTGCAATGGAAGGTAGTCGGAGGTATACAAGGGTCGTAAAGTTAGTTTATATTTGTATAATGATATGTTTTTTTTTTATAAAAATGAACAGACAAGCATGGTGTTTACTTAATGGAATTCGAAATGCTCCAATTATATAATATTAAACAAGATACGTTGTCGACTTCTTCACTCTAGTTATTCAAAAAAATCCACAAACCCAAACTGAAATGCGATTATAATTTGCGGCTTTACAGTACGGATGATGAACCACCTATTTAATACACAGATTTGGTGATGAAGTGCAACATGTCCCAGAAAAATAATACCATCCATCCAAAATAATACCCATCACTAATGAGGCCGTCGAAAGTGTTAAAGGCAGAATTCGAACTCAACAACCAACAGCGTAGTTCAGGTACATAACAATAAAAGCGAATTTATAAGATTTAGCCCTTAGGTTATTAAAAGGAAAATGATAACGGTTTGTTTTTGATAAAAAATAACTGCGCTTCTGTCACTGTTTAGTTAATCTTTATCATTATTTTAAAAATTTCAATTACATACATAAGTATGGTAGGATTCCTTTTAAAGCTTAAATATTTATGTGTTATTGGCTGCCAACTCTTGTCATATTTAAATTGAAATGATGTTAAGAATGTTCTAATCTATATTCAAAATAAAAAGATATATTAAATCACTTCTCAACTCGACACGCTCAGTGCAAAATGTTAGGGTATTTGTCATAGTTATTGTATATTCTAAATTAAACTGTTTGCTAAAAAAACTGCAAATATATCTACAAAGAATAAAGTGAGTGTTTTAATATACTAGAGAGCAGCTTCTACGAAATAGATAACCGACCAACAGATTCTACCTAAAAATAGTTCGGTAAACGAAGACTCATAAAGGTTTATAATTTTATATTTTTAATGTCTCTATGCTTATCGAATATTATACCACGACAGAATCTTGATAAACACTTCATATAAAACGAATTTGACATCGAAATTCAAAAGTATATAATTTGTTAGGCGTTATCGCACGAACTCTGTTTAGTGTTAGTTAGGGGACACACAAAGCGTGGGCCCACCCTCGCTACGTGTATTTACATAATGCACTGATAACGATAACTTTGTGACAGCCATTGTATAACACATAATTAGGGAACAGCTGCTTGTTTACGTTATTATTTTAATGTTGGCCTTATGTAATTTTAGTACTTATATATTTTAGGATGTTAATTCTTAAGGTCACGATTAGAAAATGTTACCATTTTTATTCAACTAATAATTCTGTTTTATATTAAAAAAAAACTATTCTTCTTGCGTCTTAGCCTGAGGAAACTAGTAGATTTAGAGTTTTATTCATATCGGTGACAGAAGTAGTAAATTCACCTAATAGTAGTGGGTAAATTTAGTAAAATATACTGTGTCTTTTAACTGTAATCTTTATACCCTATGTAAGTGTTGTACTAATTCCAACTTTTTGTTAACTTATTAAAACATATCAATAGTCTGTAAAAATGCTTCAGGAAAAGCACCAAACAAATGAATATTAACTCGATAAAGTTGTTTCCATGTTTTAAATGATGTGATTTGTTATTACTTTAATAATATTTGTAATTGTCGTATATTTTTATATGCGCTTATATACATAATACTTCTTTCATTGGATATACTGCTATTCTCATTAAAAAAATCTCTTAGGCTACTAAGAGTGTGATTAAAAAACGTTTAAATTTAAAAAACGTGATTTTTTATTACGCCGTTATTACATGTAATCAACAGTCAATACTCATACTTTTTATATAGTATATCGTATGTATGCTTGAGAACTGTGTCATCAAGATAAAACACGTAAAATCAAAAGTGCCCAAGCGTAAGTAATTTGATGAACGCGAAATTCCATCGCGCACCGAAAAAATGCTAGCAACGCCAGCGGCGGTCTCTTGATTCGTGTAAAATTGCGTGCTGACAGCTGAGTGGAGGGACCGAATGTGGGAGAACAAATTGCCAATCAATGGA